GGTAAATCCTCTGGAGGTAAAATGGTTTAATAATAATAATAATAATAATAATATTACTGCTTCTAATAATAATAAAAAAATAATAATAATAATAATAATAACAGGTTTGCTCTCACAGGCTTAATCTCACAGCGCCATCTAGTGTCCATTCTTCAGATGGCAGCCGGCAAGAACGTCCCACTTGCTTAGGTAAGAAAGAACATCGACTTGCTACGTGTGCCACCTAGCGGCCAGACTCATCATAACAATAATACGACTACAAGCTGCAAGGGAAGCTATCTCTTCTCCCAGACGGAAAGAATAGGCCACACAGGCAATATATCACTTCCTAAATATAAAGAACTCATATAATAATCAAGTTACAGGGTAAGAAGGTCAGTAGGGGCAAGTGGAGGTTCAGGATGTGGGGCAGGTAAGGGACCCGGAAGTAGGACGGAAGTGGCCTGATCCTGCCGGAAGTGAGGCAGCATGTGTGACAGATTCAGCGGTCCCCCTGCTGCTGATCACGTGTAGAGGAGCGATTGACCCTGGAGAGGTAAGAGACGGCAATTGATGGCAGTATACTCTCTCTCTTAGTATAACAGATTTTTTTCACATAGATACAGGAGATATATAGGATGGGGACAACCTGCAGCTATGACAAAAGCATGCTGGCGCTTGTAGTTCTCAGTACATTGTGATCTCCACCTCATACCTCCCAACTTTCTGAGATTGTAAACAGAGAAATTTTAGATGAAATCTATTTAGGCAAATGTTACGCCCTTCTGTCTTTGCTTCCAGGATAGGAAACACTTTTAGCAGAGCGGGGGAGGGTTTAATTTTGGCTGACTTCCAAAGGAGCAGGAAGTGAGGGGGAACTTCTCCAGTTGGGGGTCACCTGACAAAATGTTTAATATTATTTTCCTTTTTTCTAAATTTAAAGCTGTATTAAACCTAAAAGCAAACATTAATTACATTGTAGTTTACCATTTCTTAGATGTGACTGCATTAGTTTTCTTTTTTTTTTTTTAGGCTCTCTGTTTTATTTTCACATGTGATTTGGCCAGTAAGTCCATTGTTTTTTTTTCAATACAACAAGCTATTCTGCAGATGTAGCAGTTCGAGGGATGAGACAAACCATTTACCACTGACAGGGGTAAACAAAATAAAGTGCAGCGCTAATAAATAAATCCGTAAGTGGATGTAAGTTCATGCGATCAATAAGTAAAGTTCAGCAAATGGCAGAGGTGATGATCTCCTAAGCGGCAGATATCTCAATAAACTTGTGACTGGAATCAATGGTAAAAGTGCGCACTCACCAAAAGCGCATGGATACTGCCCATATAAGTGTGTAACCACCAAGTAAGGATCTGTGATGGATGGATGGTGAGCTTCCTTCTAGGTAATGGTCGTCAAGCTTGGGTTAATATGAGAATCTGCTAGGTCCAGAGGTCCCCTTAAGGATAGACGGATTCTCAGCCTGTATACAGGGCTCCCTCCTCTGCTGCCACTTCCACCAGCGTCTCCTCTCTACTTCCTGCTGCTTACAATGATCAGCTTTTAGTTATGTGAAGCCTTTATCCGAAAAGAAAAACTGTTGCTGTAACTGATTATAAAGTGTAAGCTGGAGTTTGGCTTCAATTATTAGTGTATCTAAATCTGCTAGTACATCTAACACTCCTGTCCTGCCAGACTGACCATGCTGTTGGCCAAAGGTGTTTCTGTTGCTCCTTTGTCCAGAGGGTAGGCATGCTAATACAAGAAGTGTGATATTGGGCAGATCACCAGGTGAAACAGAGGGAAAAAAAATCTAATGAACCCACGACATCTAATGATTGGTAAGCTGCAATAGATTACATTTTTGGTTTTGGGTTTAATACTCAAAAAAATATATATATATTTATAAATATAAATTGCTGCCATTACTAGTGTGTGTGTGTATATATATGTGTATGTGTGTGTGTGTATATATATATATATATATATATATATACACACACACACACACCCTGTTCCAAATTATTATGCAAATATTTTTCTCATTTACCTAAATAATTGATGTAAATAACAGTCAGCATAATTCTCATGTTATCAACTATTAAGAGTACAATTCCAATTTTATTGAACAAACCTCCTAATGATAACAGTATTTTTGTTAAACATAAAAAACTTCCAATGCACTGTTCCAAATTATTACGCACAGTAAGTTTCAAAACACTTTATAGGTTGTAAAGAACTGAAACTTGTCATTTGTTGTGTTTGCAGCATATTTACTGAAATCAAAAGCTATTTCAATCAAACTTTTTAACAACATTTTTACTTTTTAAACATTTCAACAGGTCACGTTACATTGTAACATAGGACCCCTTATTTGATAGCAGCTTCACAAGTCTTGCATCCATTGAACTTGTGAGTTTTTGGACAGTTTCTGCTTGAATTTGTTTGCAAGATGTCAGAATAGCCTCCCAGAGCTGCTGTTTGGATGTAAAACTGCCTCCCACCCTCATAGATCTTTTGCTTGAGGATGCTCCAAAGGTTCTCAAAAGGATTGAGGTCAGGGGAGGATGGAGGCCACACCATGACTTTTCTCTCCTTTTATCCCCATAGCAGCCATTGATGCAGAGGTATTCTTTGCTGCATGAGATGGTGCATTGTCATGCATGAAGATGATTTTATTACGGAAAGCATAGTTTTTCCTTCTGTACCAGGGAAGAAAGTGGTCAGTCATAAACTCCACATACTTTGCAGAGGTCATCTTTACACCTTCGGGACCCTAAAGGGGCCGACCAGCTCTGTTCCCATGATTCCGGCCCAAAACATGACTCCACCACCACCTTGCTGACGTCGCAGCCTTGTTGGAACAGGGTGGCTGTCCACCAACCATCCACTACTCCATCCATCTGGACCATCCAGGGTTGCACGGCACTCATCATTGAACAGGACTGTTTGAAAATTAGTCTTCATGTATTTTTCTGCCCGATGCAGCCGTTTCTGCTTGTGAGCATTGGTTAGTGGTGGCCGAATAGAAGGTTTATGCACAGTTGCAAGACTCTGGAGGACTCTACACCTTGATGTCCGTGGGACTCCAGGGGCACCAGCAGCTTCAAATATCTGTTTGCTGCTATGTAATGGTATTTTAGCAGCTGCTCTCTTGATCCGATGCATGGATCTGGCAGAAATCTTCCTCAATGTGCCTTTATCTGCACGAACCCGTCTGTGCTCTGAATCAGCCACAAATCTCTTAATAGTGCGATGATCACGCTTACGTTTTCCTGAAATATCTAATGTTTTCATACCTCATCCAAGGCATTGAACTGTTTCACTCTTTTCGGCAGCAGAGAGATTCTTTTTCTTCCCCATATTGCTAGAAAATGGTGCTCTGCTTAATAATGTGGAACACCCTCCTTTAGTAGTTTTTCCTTAAATTGGGCTCACCGGCCAATCTAATTATCACAGGTGTCCGAGATTGTTTTCAGTGATCAAAAGAGCCCTGACACACAATGCCATCCATGAGTTAAACTGAAAAACAAAATATTTAATCTTTGTGACACTTAAATAGAATTTGCATAATAATTTTGGAACAGGGTGTATGTATGTGTGTATATGTATATATATATATATATATATATATATATATATATATATATATATATACACACACACACGCTCTCTATCTATCTAGTTTTAAAGTGACTCTGCCAGCCACCTAAAATCAAATATAAATGACAAATTTCTGCAATAGAAGAGGTGTCTGGGATTGGGGAGCACGTGACCTCCTACATATGACATTGCTGACTTCTGGGTGACCAATCACCAGGCCCAGAAACTTATTTTATTTATTACAGGTACTTATATAGCGCCGTCAATTTACACAGCACTTTACATATATATATATTGTATATTCACCTCTGTCCCTAACCCTCAAGGGGTGCACAATCTAAGGTCCCTAACGTACATTCATACACATACTAGGGCCGATTTAGACAGGATCCAATTAACCTACCAGCATGTGTTTGGAGTTGGAGGAAACTGGAGTACCCAGAGGAAACCCACGCAGGCACAGGGAGAACATGCAAACTCCAGGCAGATGGTGCCGTGGTTGTGATTCGAACCAACGACCCAAGTTCTGCCAGGTGGAAGTGCTAACCATTTAGCCACTGTGCTGCACATCCAGGTAAACGCCAACAGTGCATACGTTGAGTGGGTAGGCAAGGGAGTGTGAGTTGGTGTGTATACTTTGCTGGTTAAGGTAACCATGATGTACTCTCACTTTTCCTTGAATAGCCTGATTTCCAAGCACAAAAACTTTCATTGAAATATATTACCAATAAAGCATATAAATGCACTTTGTGTGCGCCAAATGCCTGAACCCAGATATTTTGTAAAAGTAGCAGTGATATCATCACTCTGCTGTACATGGCCTGAGCAGAGCTGTGTAAGAGCCACAGCTGGCCACCCTACTACAGACTACACACAAATGTATAGAGGGGGAGACAAGACCAGTCACCCTGCACAAGGGGGAGAGAGTAGCAGTGACCGGTCTTTATTTCAGGACTGTTCTTGCACAGAGATAAAGTTTCACGCAGGATTACTGCACAAAACTGGAAGAAATACACGAAGCACACCAAGATTCAAGTAAGAATGCCCATGCCTCTTGTATTCAGACAGTATTTGCTAATCCTGGAGTTAAACTTTAACCTCAGATGTTTAATTTATACTGGCATTTGAATTACCGTACATCCTGCATTCAGTTCCATTGAAAGCCTGTCTGTACCCTGTCAGTTTGGTAATGGACTTTCCAGTAAAGTGTTTGGAGGCTGCATGTCGAAGATGTAGCTGGAGCTGGGTTACAGGCAAGTATAAACTATGACCAAACCCCTGGTGGAGAGATATAATAACAGATAAATGTTCTAAAAGTACTCTTGTCCAATTCTCTTTTAATAACTAATTCTGACAAAACCCCTCTCTCGTTTTAGGTTCTGATATTTCTTTGGTGGTGTGGTTAGCGGCAGTCAGCACAGATGTTTCGCAGTGCAGCAGCGCTGGTAGGCTCTTGCTAAGCACAAACTGACCATTGTGAGAGCTGAATTGTTAAAGTGTACTTGTTAACCCAGACTGATGGTAATAGCTTTGCTTGGGTGCATAAATAAGGATTTTTCATCCTGTGACTCAAAGCTTAGGCATTTGGTCAAGTACTTGCCGGTGGGAAGGCTCAGCCAATCTGATCCAATGCAACTGTCCTACAGAGATCAAATGCCTAAGCAGCATTGGAACTGTGTTCTGTTCCCAAAATGCTATGCAAGCTTTATCTGTTGTGCTGTCAATTGGTAGCATGTAATTAGGAAGGTGGGCACAGACTATTGACTTCTCTTTTCATATTGCTTCTGTGTCTGTTTCTGTTGCCAGGTGCTACGGCAGTCTGTAAGATTTCAGTCCAGTGAGGCAGGTATCTTGGAGAGATGTGAGTATTTTAAATCTGGGATTGTACCTCTGACTTTGCATCTCTTAACTCCTTACCACCAGTTGTACTCATATTTGTGGCAGCACAATGTGGTTATACAGTCCTGCCACATACAGTGACAGGACTGCATAACCGGATCACTGTGATAGCCAATTGCAGTAATCACTTGCAAGAGAAGCCTTCTCTATATCCCTGACAGAAAAGAACAAAGATAACATAGTTAGATCATGGCTTGGCCTAGGTCGCTGTCAGTGCCGGTTCACATATATGCAGATCGGATGTGGTTTGAACCGCATCCAATCCGCATGACATGTGAAATAACATTGCTTCCTATGGTGCCTGTTCTCATACTGTATTTCTGTTGCACTGGCAGTGCGGATTCAGTGCAAATCAAAAAGAGTCCTGTCCAATTTCTGAGCAGTGCAGTCCAGTTCAGGTGTGGATTACAGGCTTCTATGGGAACTGATTCAAAACTGTACATGTCATCAGTTGTGAACAGGATAAAATCCTGACCTGAACCTGATCTAAACCTAACCTGAACCGCTGACTCCTGTGTTTTTTAGATATGAAAACAGAGCTGCAATCCGCACCGCACATGTGTGAATCCACACTCCGTGTTAGCATTGTGGTCAGTGTGTTTTAGGTACAGTCAAAAATATTGGCACCCCTGCATTTCTGTCAGACAGTGGACTCCCAGAAAATTGCTGCAATTACAAACGTTGAGGTAATCTCATGTTATTTTGTTTGTTTGTATTGGTATGACACAAAAAAAGTGGAGAAACAAAAAGCCAAATCTGACACATTCCACCCAAACCCCCAAAAATGGACTGGACAAAATTGTTGGCACCTTCTCAATTTAATATTTGGTAGCACACCTCTTGGAAAGAAATGCCTGAAATCAGTCGCTTCCTGTAACCATCAGTGAGTTTCCTACACCTCTCTACTGGAATTTTGGACCACTCTTCTTTTGCCAACTGCTCCAGGTCTCTCAGGTTGGAAGGGTTCCTTTTCCCAACTGCTGTTCTGAGATCTCTCCACAGGTGATCTATGGGATTGATATCTGGACTCTTGCTGGCCAGTTCAGTACTCTCCAGAGCTTTGTCTTAAACCATTTCTGAGTGCTTTTTGATGTGTGCTTTGTGTCGTTGTCCTTCTGTAAGACCCATGACTTCTGACGGATACCCAACTTTCTGACACTGGGCCCTATATTGCACCCAAAATTCTTTGGTAGTCTTCGTAATGCCATGCACATGGTCAAGACATCCAGTGCTTGAAGCAGCAAAGCAACCCCAAAACATCAGTGAACCTCCACCATGTTTGACTGTAGGGACTGTATTCTTTTCTTTAAAGGCCTCATTGCTTTTCCTGAAAACAGTAGAATGATGGGCTTTACCAAAAGCTGTAACTTTGTTTCATCTGTCCACAGCACATTCTCCCAAAAGGATTTAGGTAACTTTTGGCAAACTCCAATCTGGTTTTTTATGTTTCTGTGTCAGCAGTGGGGTCCTCCTGGGTCTCCTATCATAGCGTTCCTTTTCATTCAGATTGCAACATATAGTGCAAGCTAACACAGTTGTACCCTGTGCCTGAAGGTCAGCTTGAATTTTTCTTTAAGTTGATCAGAGTTCTTTATCCACCATTCAAACAATCTTTCATTGCAATCTTTGATCAATTTTTCTCTTTCGTCCACATCCAGGGAGATTAGCTACAGTGCCATGAGCTGTAAACATATTGACAGTGTTGCACACAGTGGACACAAGAACATTAAGATATCTGGAGATGGACTTGTAACTTTGAGATTCTCTATACTTTTTCACAGTTTTTGTTCTCAAATCCTCAGACAATTCTTTTCTGCTCCCTTTCTCTTCTCCATGCTCCATGTGACACACAGAGACACACAACAGAAAGGTTGAGTCAATTTTTTCACCATTTTAACTGGTTGCCAGTGTGATTTCTATATTGTCAGCACCTGTTAATTGATGCAGGAAAATTTTATTACAAATTACAGGAGCATCACAAGCTTGGAATGCATTTTATTTGAACTTTCAGAAGATGCCAACAATTTTTCCAGTCCATTTTTGGAGTTTTAGGTGGAATGTCTGATTTGACTTTTTGTTTCTCCACTTCTTCGTGTCATACCAATACAAACAAAAGAAATAAACATGAAAATGCCTAAACATTTGTAATTGCATTAATTTTCTGGGCCAAGTGGTGCATTATCTGAAAGAAATGCAGGGGTGCCAATATTTTTGGCCATGACTGTAGGATGAAAAAAATGCATACTGTTGTTTCTGGGTCCTACTACTGGTACAAACAATAAATAACTTACATGCAGTATATCTGGTATACCCATGCATGTCAGGAGTAGGAGAATTTATTTTGGGTTGTTTTTTTTGGTGGTAGTTCATTGTAATGGTGAACATATGTAGCTAACTTTTAAAAATGGTGTATTTTACTATCCAAGGTTTTCACATACTAAATTTGCTACTTATTGGATTTTTTGTACATGTGAAAGCAATAAACAACATCTTTAAAACACAATCTTTAAAAAAAAATGCAAAACTGGGTTAAGACATTAAGGTTAGTTTTTTTGCCTTTTGTCATTAACAGGTTAATATTGAAGCCAGTCATACATGGTTCGAAATTCAGCCAGTTCAGCAGGGACTGGCCGCAATTCGATCCATGTGTATGGGCAGGCTGGTTGTACTGAAGTCTCCATTCATCAATCAACTTAGGTACAAGCAGCCTGCCACCATGATGAAGAGAGCAGTGCTCATATAAGAACGTCAGTGCCCCTCTCTACATCAATACACTGGGAGTGAAGAACGCTGTTCTGGGCCCAATATGTCTTATATTCACAGTATGTCCTCAGTCTTCCAAGTTCAATTATGCTGAAAACTGAGGAAATCTGGTGGTGTAAAAAAGTGTTGCAGTGGACTGCTCCGTTTGTTTTTTCTATTTTGAGCAGTTGCTAGACCATACCACAAAAACCTAACCAAAGCCAAATGCTCTGTAATGAAAGAGTCCTCTAGTAATAATATTTGCTCTCCCAAAAGTGCACATGGAACCTCTGACACCCCTATGTATTCTGTAGGAATAATCTACTATTTCACACCAGCTTTTTATGAGATCATGAGCCACATTACAGCAGAAGACTAAAGAAAATCACTCTAATATGGAAAAGTTGTTCTCTGAATTTTTTGCCCAACACAATATGGAATATATTTAAAGGAATTTGAAAAAAATCCAGCAGAGTCTGGTTTTGTCATTATTAGAAGCATATAATACAGCAGAAGTTCAGTCAACTTGGTACTGAGCACCTATCTAGAGGTTGCTGGAAACTGTATCAGTGTGATGGGAAATCCATATGTGGCTCCCAAGGCACTCAATAGAAATACTGGGCCCATGGGACTAATACAGTAATGGGTCTTGTAGAAAAACACAACAATAAAATTCCATAAAAAACACCAAGTGACCAGGGGCGGACTGACCATTTGAAAACTCGGGCACTGCCCGAGGGCCCGGGGTCAGTAGGGGGCCCCATGAGATGCCCCTGGTACCTTTTTCATCGGATTTTTTGAGTTTGGGCAAGGACACAGGGACCCCATGAACCCCTAATGCCCGGGGGCCCCATGAGTTCTCAGTCCGCCCCTGCAAGTGACTCCTTTATATTTTCTACTGTAAGGAAAAAACCAAATGTGGCATCAAGCAAGCAACTAATTCTGTTTCCTTCTTGAATTCAGTTGTCTGCTGTAGGCAGTACCGACACTGTATGTGACTATGGCTGGCTCTTAATGATCCTCTTTCATTCTTCTCTTTCAGCCGTGAACAGGGTGCAGATTCTGGGCCGTGTAGGCCAGGACCCAGTAATGAGACAAGCAGAGAGCAAGAACCCAGTCACCATATTCTCTGTGGCTACTAATGAAATGTGGCGGGCAGGTGAAAGCGAGATATACCAGACTAGTGAGTGTGCTCTTGTTTGATTTATGCAGATTGATTCTAAACAGCAGGCTTGTCCAACCTGCAGCCCAACACAAAATCTCAAACTTTCTCAAAAATGTTGATTTTCTTTTTTTGGGAATTTTTGGTAAAAATGCATTTACATTTAGCAAACATGTGGCTGAAGAAACATTTGACGTTGTATCTTTACTGGCATTTTATCTTCACAAGAAAAATCTCCCACTCTTCACAATCACGCCTTATTCATGTCATCAGTTTTTCGGCAGCAACTATATTTGTGAGCAACTATTTTCAAAAACGAAGCACATTACGGGCAAAATTTGAAAAAAAAAAAATCTGATGAGCACCTTGAGTATTAACTGAGAATTACTACTAGGCCCCTGCTCTAGAAACTTGGAGGAGGGGGTGGAGCCTGTACATGGCGGCACAGGAGAGCGGGGAATAGGAACTCTCCGATAGCCTCCCCCCACCTACCCTCCCTAAAGTGTCCCGAGGTCTAACTAGCTGTGTCGGAGAGCTGCTGGAGAACCAACCTGGAGAGAGGAGAGATCCCGGCGGGGTTGCGGTGGTCTGTCTGGGAGCGGAGAGTCGAGCTGCCCTCCTCCTTAGGTCTGCCCGCGGTAATCCCGGCGAGAGTGTGTGGGTTGCCGAGCGACAAGGAGGAGTGGCGTTACCACGTGGGCTGCCACGGTGGACAGCTGGGAGAGGAAGATACCGGCCGGCGTTCTAGGAGACAGGAGAAGCACCGACAGTCAAGGCAAAGCGGCCCCCAGGGAAAATCTCGGAATACAAAGAGGAGCAAGAGACCCAAGGGAACCCCCTGGAAGAGGAGGATACGGCTGCAGGAGACAGGGCAATCCAGGACTGCAATTGGGAAGCTGCTCCATAGAGGAGGGTGAGTGAGAGCTGCTGGTCTCCATATATGAAAGCTTGTCAGACTGTGTTAAAAGCCACTTGATATCCAGCATAGGAAACAAGAAGGGGGTTCCCAGAGGGGGTGTGAAGGACTGTAAGAAAGAAGCGACAGCTTAAGAATATACCCCAGAGTCTCAAAAAAAAAACTTTTAAAACCTTATATGTGACATGAAAGGAAAAAATAGTAAAGGAAATATGCCTAAGAACTCCCAAACTGGAACGATAAAAAAAATACACGTCGCAGGGTAAATTGACTCCAGTAAAATCCCAGGAAATAAGTGATAGGAGTGAATTGGAAATAACCTTAGATAATAGTATAAGATCTTCCCTGGGAGCAGTTAATAATAGCCAACAAACACTGGAAGATATGGAGATGGGAGAAACTGAAAAAGAAATGCAATTGCCAAATAAAAAGGAAATGGCGGAGATGTTTAAAAACTTGGAAAAATCCATAAAGCAAGAGATGGTGATAATTCGGAAGGAATTGGGACAGTTGTTAACTAGAGTGGAAGAAACGGAGGAAACAGTTAAATACCACACCCAAATTATCCCAAAATTAGAGAAAGTGATAATAGATACTCGGAAGGAACAAAAAAGATTGCTTTATATGATGGAAGATCAAGAAAATAGGGATAGGAGAAATAATATTAGAATAAGAGGAGTCCCAGAGCTGCTACAGGGGGAAGATTTAAAGGAGACCACAGGAAAAATTTTGAACTCCATAATGGAAAGAGCTGATGCGGAGATATTTAAATTGGATGGGGTCTACAGGATAGGAAGGATCCAACAAGAAAAAGGCCCAGAAAAATCAAGAGATATAATTGTCCAATTCCATAATTCTAGAGATAAAGATGAGATATGGAAGAAGATTAAAGGAAGAACAAATATTAAATATGGAGGGAAAAATATTCAAATCTTTGCAGACATAGCAGCCGAGACATTGAGAAGAAAGAGGTCATTGAAACCATTATTGGAATTGTTGAAGAAACAGAACGTGCAATATAGATGGGGTCGTTCAGTATGTTTAATCGGTTGGAAAGATGGAGTCACAGCTTTTTTGAGATCTCCTGAAGATATGAAAGACTTCTGTAATAAATTTGAACTGCAAAGAATAGAGATCCCTGGTTGGGAAGAGGAGGAGGGAGAGTCATATATGCTGGGAAAAGAGGAATGGCAGCTAGTTAGAAGAGAAAATAGAGAGTATATAGATAGAGGGACACAGGGGAGGAGGGGGGGAAGGTGAGCAGTACATGGACGGAGCTGAACCCCCAGGTTGGAATCAAAAGTGGGATCTTTTCCACGAATGATTTATAGGCAAATAAAAAGCCTAACAGGGGGAGAGGGGGTGGGGGCCTTGGGGGATGGGTGGGGGGAGGGGGGGTGGATGGGAGGGAGAGAACTAGGGTGGGAGGGGGGAGAGGGAGTTTTAAAAACTGACATCTTGTATGAGAGAAAAGATACAGGGAAGGGGAAGAGGAAAAGGAAATGGCAAAATAGGAAGAAGACAAATAAAATATGGAGGAAATACGGTTTGTAACCCATAATGTAAATGGATTAAATTGCCCAGGTAAAAGATTTAGACTATACAGAGAACTACAACATAGAGAGGCCTCAGTTGTTTTTTTGCAGGAAACACATCTGGAGTTAAAAAAAAAACATTAAGCTGAACTCTAGACAACACCCGACATGGTATTATGCAGATTCCCCAGTTAAGAGAGCGAAGGGTGTGGCTATAGGATTTGCAAAAACCCTTAGGTTTGAGCTGGAAGATAGAAAGACGGACCCGGAGGGGAGGTTTTTGTTCTTGAAAGGTAAACTGCAGGACATAGAATGTACGCTCGCAAACATATATTGCCCTAACAGGAAGCCGGAAATGTTTTTGAAAGGGGTTATGAGAAGATTGATGGACTTTGGAAAGGGATATTTAATAGTGGCGGGAGACTTTAACATATGTATGGATCCACAAATTGATACAACATCTGCAGTGCAGAGAGGGGAAAACAGGTCCTTGGGACTATTGAAAAGAGCGATAAAAGAGTGCCAATTGGTGGATAGCTGGAGAATTGTCAACATGAGAGATAGAGATTACACGTTTTTCTCTAGTGTACATAGGACATACTCTAGACTGGACTATATATTGGTGGACCATCGACTCATTGAGGATTTGGTTAGGGTAAAAATAGAAGCAATAACTTTTTCAGATCATGCACCTGTAGTAATGAAATTAAGATAGGGAGGGAAGGTGCTAGGAGGCATGTCATGGAGGTTGAATGAGGCACTCCTCATGGACCAAGATACCGACAGGAAGATCAGGGAGGAGATAAAGAGGTTCTTTGAGGAAAATGAAACTGGGGATGTATCACTAGCTACAGTGTGGGAGGCACATAAAGCATATATAAGAGGAATCCTTATTGCGATTGGGGCAAGGAAAAAAAAGGGAAAGGCGAGAGAAGATTAGTGGGCTTTTGAAGGAAATAGCTGAGATGGAACTCCTACATAAAAATAACATAAGGAAAGAGATAGAGCAAAGAGTGATAAAAAAGAGGGAAGAACTTGAGAAAGTAATGGAGGAGGAAAAAATGAGAACTTTTAATAAGATCATTGGGGAAAGATATAGATGGGGAGATAGATCGGGAAAATACCTGATGAGAGCCTTTGAGGAGAAAGAAGAATAGGAACTATATAGATAAAATAAAAAACTGCAAGGGAGAGTTAGTCCATTCAACCAAAGACATTGCAATGGTATTTAAAGATTATTACAGTAAATTATATAATATTGATCCCAAGGATGCTATAAATAAAAGATAAAATGGTAAATATTGAAAAAAGAAGGGATTACTTGAGAAATGCAGGATTGCCAAAATTAAGTGAAGAACTACTAAATTCCTTAGAATCTGAAATTACACAGGAAGAATTAAAAATAGCATTAAAAAAACGTTATGACGGGAAAAGCCCTGGCCCAGACGGGTATACCGTGAGGTATTATAAAAAATATAGTGACCTACTTTACCTAAGTTAAAGATATATATGGAGGCGTGGGAGGAGGAGAGATGGAGATAAGACAGGAATCCCTTCTGGCACAGGTGGTTCTAATACATAAGGAAGGTAAAGATGTCACCCAATGTTCAAGTTACAAACCGATATCGCTATTAAACATAGATACGAAGCTGTATGCAAAAGTACTGGCGAACAGGTTAAAAGATTTGATGCCAGAATGGATTCATGGAGACCAGGTGGGCTTTGTTAGAGGAAGAGAGGGTCCGAGATAACGGGTTGAGATCACTGTTGCTTATACAGAAAAGTAAAACGGAAAAAAATCCAGTAGTGCTGCTCTCGATAGATGCGGAGAAGGCGTTTGACAGGGTCAACTGGAGTTTCATGATGGACACACTGGAGGTCCTAGGATTGGGTATTAGGATGAGAAAGTGGATTGGAAAGTTATATAAAGGACCGACCGCGACGGTAATGGTAAAATGGAGAGAGATCAGAGACTTTTTTGATGTCAAATGGAACTAGACAGGGCTGCCCACTCTCCCCACTGTTGTTTGTTCTATCATTGGAACCCTTGTTTATCAACAATTAGGAAAAACATAGATATAAGGGGAATTAAGGTTGGAAAGACAGAACACAAGATAGCCGCCTTTGCGGACAAATTTATTATTCTATGTAGGAAACCCTTAGAATAACACTTCCTAACCTAATGAAATCACTGAAGGAATATGGGGAGATGTCAAATCTAAAAATTAACCCGAGCAAAACAGAGATATTAAATATAAATCTTCCAAAGAGTGAAAAAAAGAAATGATACAGAGAGAATTTCCTTTTATATGGAAAGATAGAGAAATAAAGTACCTAGGAGTTAAAACTTACCCCCCTCACAGAAAAATCTTTATAAAGCGAATTATATCCCATTGGCTAAACGAAATTAGGGAGGAACTGAAGAAAATTGGTGGAGGAAACCCTTCTTGGTTAGGTCGATATTAACCTGATAAAAATGGTAATTGTCCCTAAGATACTGTTTATAAATTTCAGATGATTCCCATTAATCTTCCAGAGGAGTTATTTTAGGACAATCAAGCGAGTATGGTAACAAACTATATATGGAAAAATAAAAAACCTAGGATATCATATGAAGTGCTAAGCAGAAATAAAGAAAAAGGGGGGTTGGGGGAGTACCGGATTTTAAAATATACCATAGGGCAGTTCATCTTAGAAAGAATTTTTGACTGGACACACATACACTTAACTTAAAAAGTAGACAGTGGGTCACAAATTGAAATACACTTAGTAGAAAGGATTTGAGTTGGGGAGTATATGGGTGCCACACAGTTTACAGAATTAGAGGAGAGCACGAGTATATACACAAGGATTGTAATAAGGAGTGGGATAAAATGCACAGCCAGAGGAAGTGGGACTTTAATTCACTGTGTGATGCCACTGAGAAATTACAGAGTTTTTCCCCCAGGTAAAGAGAAATTACAGGTAGATGGATAATCGAAGGAAGACGTTCAGTTGAGAGAAGTAATGGAGGGGGTAAACTTAAGAACACTGGAGGATTTAAAAAGGGAAGAGGGAAAGATTTTCCACTAGGATAGATATATGGAGGTACAATCAATTGAAACAATTTTGTGGAGAAATTGACAAAGCCCCTTAGAACTAGGAAAGAGGTGGAATGTAGAGTTGAGAAATACTTAGAAGCTCGTAGGGGATGGGAAACACAGCACTGCTAAAGCATATAAAGCACTCACGGATTTAGATAGTAAGTTTAAATTAAAGTATATAGAATAATGGGAAAGGGATTTAGGAGTGGAGTGGGAAGAGCACACACAGAGGAAAATATATAGAATGGTACACGAAAATATTAGCATGCGTGAGGATGGAAAATGAAATTTTAAATGTTTGACAAGGTGGTATGTTACAACCGATGATAGAGCACAAGATGAGTGCTGGAGAAGCAACCTTGGTGTTGGGAGAGGGTGTGGAGGGTTGGGCACGATGTATCACATATGGTGGGAATGCACAAAAATACAAGAATATTGGAGAAAAGTTATAATCAAATTAGGATTAATTACTGGAATGGAGATCGGAGACTGGACCCTGAAACCCTGCCTTTTTCATAATTCAATAATTGGGAATAAATGTAAAGAGCTAGGTATATGGTGCTACCTAAATGCAGCAAAAAGTTTGATTCCTAGGTTCTGGCGCAAAGTTGAGGACACCGAGAGAAAAGGATTCGATGTTTAGGGGTGGACCAGATTGGGCTAGATTGGAAAAAAACTTTATTATATACAGGAAGATAGAATAGTGGCATATTATACAAAAATGGGTAGAAATGGGAGGAGTTTAAGCTACAAGGGAAAAAAGAGGTACTTAAGTAAGTAAATAAATGTAAAGAAAAAGGAGAGAATGAGAGGAGAGGAGGAAGGAAGAGTGGAAAGAAAGAAGAGGAAGGAGAGAAAATATAGTAATTGGTCACTTTCCGTTTCCTTCCTTCTTCAATCCTTTGTATCCAGAGGATGCGGAGATTGTTAGTCAAGTAGATAGATTTGTCAGGGGTTTAAAAGAAATGGGGGGGGGGGTGGAGGGTGGGTCGAAAAAGGATGGGGAGAAAAAGACCTGAGTTTTGTTATGATGTATTTTTTTATTGTGGAATTTTGTATTGGTTATTTGAAAATGAATAAATATTTATAAAAAAAAAAAAAAAAAAAGAATTCACTACTAATCTTTCGAACCAGATATTGATATAGTTAATCAAGGCACGGGGGATACATAAAAAAAAAAGTTCTTTTGCCACATCCTGGCAACAGTTTTAATGATTAAGAGGTATGCCCTCAATTTTCTATTTAATTTAGCAAGTAGAGTAGTTTGCTGTGCAGCCAGTATACAAGTCAGAAAGAAAAAGTACCATATATTTCGCTCCAATAAGAACGCACTTTTTTCCCACCCAAAAAACGGGGGGGGAAATGTCCAGTAGCGAACAACTTTCGATATGGAGCGTCCGTGATACCGGTTTTCCCACCGCCACCGTGTTCGAAATACCAGGTCCGCCCGCCGTCGGACTCTTGCTCTGCAGACAGAGAAACGTACCTGTTCCTTTCCTCGCTCCAAGCGCTGTAGCAAGTCTTCCGGCAACGGCATCTTTAGTGTGGGCACCCGGGCTGTGACAGCCGTGGTGAGCCCACTGAGCGCTTGGCGCGAGAAGCGCTGCGCTTTGTAATGGTACGGCGTGCTTCTGAGACACGACAGTTCCCAGAAGACTCAGGACCAATCACAAAAGTGCAGCGCGTCTTCGCGCATAGTGCAGTGAGCACACGGCTGTCAGCAGGTGCCACACTAAAGGGAGGACAACATCCACGAAGTGGGACGGTTACCCATTCAAAATGTCAGGTACCCTTCCCCCTCCCTCGGCAAAAGTGCCACAGTCTCTTGGTCATCCCTGGAACTGTCGCGCATACCCTGGACATGCACTTCCCCTGTCAATTTTAGTCTTCCTATCTCTTGTCCTCTTCTGTCATCCCCTGTACTGTCCGCATCCTCTGGTCATGCCCCCTGTACTGTCCCGCAAGTCTCTGGTCACCCCGTGGACTGTCCGCATCTCTTCCATCCCTCTTACTGTGTCCCTGCAGTCTCTGGTCATTCTCATTGTAACGTCCGCAGTCTCCTGGTCATCTTCTCTGTACTGTTCAGTCCTCCTGTCATACCCCTGTACTGTCCGCAGTCTCTGTCTCCCCCTGTAACTGTTCGCGCAGTCTCTGGTAATCCCCTAGTACTAGTTCCACAGTCTCCTCTGGTCATCCCCTGTACTGTCCGCAGTCCTCTGTTCATCCCCTGTACTGTCCTGCATCTCTGGTCAGTCCCCTGAAACTGCCGCATGTCTCTGGTCATCCCCTGTACTGTCTGCAGTCCTCTGGTCATATCCATGGCCCCTGTACTGTCCGCCAGTCTCTTCTGTCATCCCCTGTACTTGTCCGCAGTCCTCTGGTCATCCCCTGTAAACTGTCTGCAGTCCCTGGTCATCCCCTGTAAGCTGTCCGCGTCTCTGGTCATCCCTGTACTGTCCGCAAGTCTCTGGCATCCCCTGTACTGTCCGAACGTCTCTGTCATCCCACTTTAACCTGTCCGCAGTCTCTGTTCATCCCCCTGTACTGTCCCGCAATTCTCCTGTCCATCCCCCTGTTAATTTCCGACTGTCTCTGGTCACCAGTCTACTGTCCGCAGTCTCCTAATCATCAGCCTGTCAACTGTCCGCAGTCCTCTGTTCATAGCCCCTGTAACGGTCCGCAGTGCCTCTGGCCATCCTCCTGTACTGTCGCATTCTCTGGTTCTCGCCCCCTCTGTTCCGCAGTCTCTGTCATCTTCCTTTACTGTCTCTGGTCATCCCCCTGTACTGTCCGCAGTCTCTGGTCATCCCCTGTAACTGTCCTCAGTCTCTGGTCATCCCCTGGACTGTCCCGTCTGCATTCTCTGGTCATCCTCCTGTACTGTGTCTCTGCAATCTCTGTGGTCCTCATCCTCTGTCTCGCACTGTTGGTCTGCAGTCTCTGGTCATCTCCTGTACTGTGTCTTGCAGTCTCTGGGTCATCTCCTGTACTGTGTCTGCAGTCTCTCTGGTCATATCTCCTGTACTGTGTCTGCAGTCTCTGGAGTCATCTCCTGTACTGTGTCTGCAGTCTCTGTCATCTCCTGTACTGTGTCTGCAGTCTCTGGTCATCTGCCTGTCGTGTGGCTGCAGTCTCTGTCATCTCTGTACTGTGTCTGCATTCTCTGGTCATCTCCCTGTACTGTGTCTGCAAGTTCTCTGGTCATCTCCTGTGCTGATGTCTGCAGCTCTGGTCATCTCCTGTGCTGTGTCTCATTCTCTGGTGTCATCAGCTCCTGTCATCTAGAGTCTGCAGTCTCTGGTCATCTCTGTACTGTGTCTGCAGTCTCTGGTCATCTCCTGTGACTGTGTCTGCAGTCTCTGGTCAATCTCCTGTACTGTGTCTCAGCAGTCTCTGGTCATCTCCTGTACTGTGTCTCGCAGTCTCTGGTCATCCTCCTGTACTGTGTCTGCAGTCTCTGGTCATCTCCTGTACTGCGTCTGCAGTCTCTGGTCATCCCCTGTATCTCGTCTGCTGTCTCTGGTCATCTTCCTGTACTCTGCATCTTTTGGTCATCTCCTGGTACTGTGTCATGCCAGTCTCTTGTCATCTCCTCTAAAAAAACTAGTGTGCAATCTCTGGTCATCTCCTGTACTGCAGTCTGCAAAATCTCTGGTCATATTCCTGTACTAGTGTCTGCAATCATTTCCATGGTTCATTCCATGTGAATATTTTTTTTCTTGTTCTTTCTCCTCTAAAACCTAGGTGCGTCTTATGGAGCGAAAAAAGTAATGTGAATTCATGAACATTGTTGTAAAGGGGCAACATGCGTCTTTCAGCTTAAAACCAGAGTTTTTCAGTGGCTTGAAGCTCTATTTAATGCATATTTCTTTTGCTTTGTACCACATGTTTCTTGATGTGGTGAAACTTACATCCTTTCTTCTCTTCAGGTGGAGACATCAACCAGAAGACAACTTGGCATCGGGTATCTGTCTTTCGGCCTGGCCTTCGGGATGTAGCCTATCAGTACATCAAGAAAGGGTAAGCTTGTGTGTTTGAATTAGGCATTTGGCTTTGGAATATAGAATGGTTTATGGAAGGGCTTGGTGGTTCAAGACAAGTTAGTTTTATTTTTTCCCTTTTGCCTCCCCAATTTCCTATTGGCTAATGCCCAAGCTACACATTATAGACAAAAGTGTTTAGGCACCTGAGTCTTGTCATTCTAGGACAGAAAGTGTGTTAATGGCACAATCACCAGGTAAAGCTGTAAAAAAGAAATCTAATGCAGCTACAACATCGAAGAACTATTACAATGTATTACATTTTTGTCCTAAAGGTTTAGATACACATTTAGAAACATTTTTTTTTCTTTGTGCTCACCAAAAAACCTCAAGCAAAAGTCAATGGCTGTTTACAAAAGAAAAAAAAAAAGTGTGATCGCCCTGTCAGCGCTTGCCTGGTAATAGAATGAGAAATTAATTTCTTTTGATTTAATTAAGGGTTCGCGTGTACGTGGAAGGCAAGATCGATTATGGAGAATACACAGACAAAAACAATGTACGCAGACAGGCCACCACCATCATTGCAGGTAAGGAGATCCTGGACTAGGACTGAAAACTTTTCCAGATTTCAGAACAAGTCCTGTGTACAAGGCAAACAATGTTCATGGACACAATGACAGGCAATGTACAAGTCAGTTACCAGTGGGAGCAGCAGCCGATAAATGGTAGAATAGGTAAGAGAGGAATCCATGTGCTGTGCCAGCTTCATAAAGACATTGTTTGATGTGGAGGAAATTGAGTGGTCTGTGCATATCCCTGACCTCAACCCTACTGAACATTGATGAATAATGAAATTGGATGCCAATTTTGAGCCAGGTCTTCTCATCCAACATCGGTACTTGACCTCACAAGTGCTCTTTTGACTGAATGGGCACAAATTCCAACACACACATTCCAAAATCCCATAGAAAGGTTTCTCAGAGGAGTAAAGGCTGTTATAACCACAAAAGAGGGCTAAAGACATAAAGCCCATGGTTCTAGAACGGGATATTCAACCAGCTCACATAGGTGGTGACAGTCAGGTGTTTCCAAACCGGTCACCATATAGTGTATGTTGGATCAGATTGCAGTATCAAATACAGTTAAAAAGCTAGAGGTTTTTCATGCATTCTATGCATGAAGGTAAAAAAAAATCTTCCTTGTGAAGATTCCCCCATCAATACTTACCTGAGCCCGATCTCAGTTCAGAAATGTGCACAAGAGCAGCTCTCTCCATCCTTATTGCCCCAGAGGCAGCAGCTGGACACACAGAGCAGGGCTTGGGAGTAAGTACGCATGAGTGCCCCTTAACAAGCGACTTGCTATGAGGGCACTCGAGGGGGGGAGAAAGAGCCCGGAGGGTCGGGGCAGCTCTGTGGAAAACTTATTGCACAGAGCAAGTGTGAGTATAGATAGATAGGACTTTATTGTCATTGAATACATACAATGAAATTTATCAAGGTACTCTTTATAACTGCAATTTAAAAAAAAAATTCTCAAACAAAATACATACATACATACACATACATACATACATACATACTCCTACACACACTCACATATCTGTTCTTAAATATCACAAAATATAAAATATTTTTAAAGTAAACTTTCACATAAAAATTCCTAAAACTCTGTACCTGGTGGAATTATGGGCAGTACAGCCTCAGGGAAAAAAAACTATACTTAATACATGTTTGTTTTTGTCCTTTAGTATCACTTTAAAATGAGTTGTAGCTACAGTCTGAGTGCAGGTTTGAAGAAAAAACTGTGAATGTGATTATTGCTATTATATAATGCAATACAAATTATTTTTGCTATTATTAGTTTCTTCCAAGTAGTACACTGCCAGCAGAGGGTGACAGAACACAATACGATATTCATTATTCTCAGCTTTTGCTGTACTGTTTCAGCTAATGTATGAACCTTCTGGGAAAATAATCATACTTTGCTGAAATAATATAGTGCATTTAGAAGGACTCAGACACCAAAGAACTTAAAGCAGAACTTTACCCAAAAGGGAAAGTTATGCTTTTCTTCCTCCCCCCTCCTTTATCATATTTGATTTTTTTTTTGTTGGGGGGGGGGCTCAGAGAGTGGGTACAGATACCTACTCCCCACTTCTGCTCTGAGCACCTTGTTCCTCCCCCACCCACAACCTCTTGATACACAAAACAGGTCCCAGGAGGCTGCAGGACTATTCAGATACCACAGCACGGCTGCAATTTGTTTTACCTTAAAGCCTAACTTCAGGTTGCTTTTAAACTTATAAAACTTACCCATGAAGAGCGCACCTATGCACCCCCATTTGCAAAGGTTAAGTGCTCGTTGGGCTAGAAGGGGAAAGAGTGAGTACAGATACTGCCCTTATTCCTTGCTCCCCCTGCAGCTGGAGCTCTTCTATTTTTTCTGATTCTCTAGCTTGGGGTGGACCCTCAGTGTCCTCCCATAGATTGCAGGACAATGATATATTTTTTCCATGCGGGAGGGAAGATGGACTTCACTGTGTAGGTACATTTATCAGCAGACTGGATTTGGGCTTACACATTAGCTAAAACGTTACAGCGAAAGGTAAGAATAATGAATATTTTATTGTGGTCTGTCGCCCTGTGCTTGTAGAACAATACTTGAAGAAACCAATAATAGCAATAATAATTTGTATTGTGTTATATAATAGCAACACCCCATACAAAGTTTTTTTTTTTTTTTTTAACAGAGTGGGAAAGGGTAACAACTTCTGCTAGGTTGTTATTGCTGCCTGATGGGTAAGACTTACTTCTACTTCTTATCCCTGTAACATCAGTATAGAAAGTGAGGGAGGAAATGCAAAAGTTGAAAGTTTTCAGAACAGAAGAACATAAGGTATCTCTTAATACGGACCCCTATTCCTAGACCTTCCTGTTGTCTCCGAGTTAAGAAGTGATGATTAAACTCCCACACAGAAAAGAATATAAGCTCAAGATGTGATTTCTATAAACCCACACATGAATGAGTCTGAACAGTGACTATCCCATAACCAGTTACAAAACCATAGACATTAGTATGGAGTGTTTATAACGGCCTCCACTCTTTTGGAGTGTTTTTGTGGGAATTGTTGCCCATTTAATCATGAGCATTTGGGAGAACAGGTTATAATGTTGGATAAGAGAACTTTGGCTCACAGTCTGCATTCTAATTCTCATTCCGAAAGTGTTCAGTAGAGTTAAGGTCAGGGCTGTCTGCAGGCCACATGAGATCCTGTACACCAGACTCATCAAACCATGTCTTTATGGATATGGCTTTTTACACAGGGGCACAGTCGTGTTGGAATAGAAAGGAACCTTCTTCAAACTGCCACCACAAGGTTGGAAGTGCACAATGTCCAAAATGTCTTTGCATGCTGTAGCATTTAGAGGGCCCTTCAATGAAAATTCCTGATCTTGAAAGAGAGAGTTGTTAACTGCGCTTTCATTAATGTCAAAGGAAAGGCTGCATATGTTAAATGTTGCTTGCCCATTGCTGATGCTCCCCACATAAATTTTCTTATAGTGCATCTAGAAAGTATTCACAGCGCTTACATTTTGCCACATTTTGTCATTTTACAGCCTTATTCCAAAATGGATTAAATTCATTTTTTTTCCCTCAACATTCTACAAACAATACCCCATAATGACAACGTGAAAGAAGTTCGTTTTGAAATCTTTGCAATTTATTAAAAATAAAAAAAAACGAAAAAAAAAAATACATGTACATAAGTATTCACAGCCTTTGCTCAATACTTTGTTGAAGCACCTTTAGCACCAATTACAGCCTCAAGTCGTTGTGAGTATGATGCTACAAGCTTGGCACACCTATTTTTTGGGCAATTTCTCCCATTCTTCTTTGCAGTTCCTCTCAAGCTCCATCAGGTTAGATGGGAAGCATCAGTGCACAGCCATTTTCAGATCTCTCCATAGATTTTCAATCGGGTTCAAGTGTGGGCTCTGGCTGGGCCACTCCAGGACATTCACACAGTTGGCTCGTAGCCACTCCTTTTTTATGTGGGCTGTGTGCTTAGGGTCGTTGTCCTGTTGAAAGATGAACCGTCACCCCAGTTTAAGGTCCAGAGCGCTCTGGAACAGGTTTTCATCAAGGATGTCTCTGTACATTGCTGCATTCATCTTTCCTTCGATCCTGACTAATCTCCCTGACTAATCTCCCAGTTCCTGCCACTGAAAAATATCCCCACAGCATGATGCTGCCACCACCATGCTTCACTGTAGGGATGGTATTGGCCAGGTAGTGAGCGGTGCATGGTTTCCTCCAGACATGACACTTGGCATTCAGGCCAAAGAGTTCAGTGTTTGTTTCATCAGACCAGAGAGTTTTGTTTCTCATGGTCTGAGAGTCCCTCAGGTGCCTTTTGGAAAACTCCAGGTGGGCTGCCATTTGCCTTTTACTGAGGAGTGGCTTCCGTTTGGCCACTCTACCTGATTGGTGGAGTGCTACAGAGGTGGTTGTTCTGGAAGGTTCTCCTCTCTCCACAAAGAAACGCTGGAGCTCTTTTATCGGGTGCTTTGTAACCTCACTGGCTAAGGCCCTTCTCCGTTGATCACTCATTTTGGCTGGGCGGCCAGCTCTAGGAAGGTTACTGGTGGTTCCAAACTTCTTCCATTTATGGATGATGGAGGCCACTGTGCTCATTGGGGGCCTTCAATGCTGCAGAAATTTTGCTGTACCCTTCCCCAGATCAGTGCCTTGATACAATCCTGTCTCAGAGGTCTACAGACAATTTTTGGACTTCATGGCTTGATGTGTGTTCTTACATGCACTGTTAACTGTGGGACCTTATATAGACAGGTTTATGCCTTTCCTAATCATGTCCAATCAACTGTATTTCCCACAGGTGGACTCCAATCAAGTTGTGGAAACATCTCAGGGATGTTCAGTGGGGAACAGGATGCACCAGAGCTCAATTTTGAGTGTCATGGCAAAGGCTGTGAATATTTATGTACAAGTGTTTTTTTGTTTTTTTATCGTTTTTTATTTTAATAAATTGCAAAGATTTCAAAACAAACTTCTTTCACGTTGTCATTATGGGGTATTTGTAGAATGTTGAGGAAAAAATGGATTTAATCCATTTTGAAACAAGACTGTAGCATAACAAAATGTGGCAAAAGTTAAGTGCTGTGAATACTTTCTGGATGCACTGTATATATCAGTGTCTAAAATATATATATATTTATTTTTTTTTTTAAGTGTTACTAAACCCAGGACCCTGCATTCACTATATCTGGTCTCCCACAGTACACAAAACATGGAAATGCAATTACTTTAATAAATATAAACTGCTAAATATCTTTTCTGATCAGGAGTTTATAGCAGCCTTATTAACAAATCTTTTGTTAATAAGGCTGTAGGATCGGTGGGAGAATTTTAAAGTGTTACTAAACCCACAACAGTAAAATCAGTGTGTATATGCAGTAAAGCACTGTGGAACCTAAGGAGTTAATCGCATTGTTTGATTTTTTTCTTCTCTGACCCTCCTCTGTTGAAATGACCACCTGATACACACTGAACCCGTGGTCACATGCACATACTCAGTATTGCTAG